TCCTTAAAATAATTTAAAATTGAGAATGAATCCTACATGATAACCTACAAGATGATGAAGAGCTTAGAATAGTGAAAGAGACACTAACATGTCCTATTAAAGAAAAATAGAAAGTTACGTTAGAAGAGGAAATGAAATCCATAAAATTGAACCGAGTGTGGAGTTTAGTTGATCTCTTGCTAGGTCGTAAAGCAATAGAGAACAAATGGGTTCTCAAAATAAAACGAAAGGCGAGATGGATCGGGTGAATGATATAAAACTCATGTTGTGGCTAAAGGTTTTACCCACCAAAAGGATATAGACTATGAGAAGACCTTTTCTCTTATTGCTAGGTTTGTGTTGATAAGTCTGTGGACACCTTTGTGTTTAAAAACAAGGTTTTAAGTCATTAAATATGTCTTAAAACTCCATAAGAAAAAAGAAGAGATGTCTAAAGTATCATATTTAAATGCCGTTGGAAGTTGTATATATGTAATGATGTGTACTTGCCCGAGTTTGATTAACTTATCTTAGTTGAATCCTAATCAAAAGCATTGAAAGGCTATGAAAAAGGATCCCGAGATATCTTAAGGGCGAGTGTGGATTATTTTCAATTTATTAAGAAAAAAATCTATATGTAACCGAGTTCTCATATGTTAATTGGAAAGGAGACCTTGATGAACATAAATCCACTTTTGGCTACGTTCTTCTACTCAATAATGATGATATATCTTAGAGTAGTAAGAAGCGATTTACATAGCATTGTCTACTATGGACATTGAATTTATAGCCTATTCAGCTATTGTACAAGAAACATTTTGGTTGAAAAGATTCCTTGAGGATTTGAAAGTTAATCTCGGGGCTTGTTATAGTATATTGTGACAACCAAACACATATTGGTTATACCAATAAGTACCATAGTAGAACCAAACATATTGACACCGAGTATAACTACATTAGAGACATCATAAAAAAAAATATTAGTATAATATATAACTATGCATCAAATGATAGTAGACCCTCTCACAATATATATATATATATATATATATATATATATTGGACAAGTTAAATCTCTTGAAATGTGTAGATTGTAACTTTATCATAATAATGAACAATTATCTTTGTATATTGTACTACTTTTTTTTGTATGAATATAATTTGATGTTTCTTTATATATATACACATTATATGCATGTTACTATGATAAATCTCAACTTTAAAAGTCATATAGGTTTAGATTAATTCTCTCACACGAGCAATCACCTCTAGTACTTTTGAAAATGAGTAGAGATGAGATAAAACCCCCTAGAACTATTGAGAGTGAGTAGAGTGGAGATAAGATTAAGAAAGAGTCACATTAATATAGAATTAAGATAAGATTATAAATCAATATACATTTTACAATCAAATTGGAAAGCTCGATCCAAATAATTTATGAAAGCCAAATTTAGATCTCGATGATAATACCTACTAAGAGAAAATAACTTGAGAGCTTAGCTTAATCGCTTATGTCCGACAACTCGAACTAAGATTTATACAATGAATATAAGATGTGATAATTGGAAATAGTATAGGATGTAATTCATGCCATTTGTGCTAATACGATCACAAAAGATAATGGGGCAATGAATTCCTACTTCTTTACTACGTGAGATCTTTAAAAGAATAATAATATCCTCTAACTAATACTCTTATCACTTTTTACTACTATTCAAGGTTTAGACTTGGTTTTTGCTATCTTAGCTAGTTACTCATGATCATGTATGATTAGATCTGTAGAACTGGTCTAGAAAAGCATCCAAGTTCGAATTAAGAATTTTGAATAAGAAAGAAAGATACGTTCGGTATATTCATTGGCTAGCTAATCATGTCGCTTGAAAGACATATTGCTTGAAAGTAGTGTGGATCTAATTATGGATATACAATATGAAATTAGACTATATGTGGATTGAGGGGTTTGGCATAATGATATATTGAATACAAAGAACTATCTAGTGTATTGTGAAATTTATGATATATTGTATCTCGTATATGGTTTATCAATCTTAGGTGGTAACTACTATGTTATTCTTATTAGAAGCATAGTAATAAACTCCCAAATACAAAAATGCTCGCTAAGTCTTACAATCCATTTGCTAGTATGAAAATGTACCTTCTTATTTTACTATTGATATTGTAGAAAGCCTCATGTCGAGTCTAGCTTGTCATGTGCGAGTGGGAGATAGAAAAAAATTAAGGTCCGATCGCCTATGATGGGTCGATCCAAAAACAAAGTTATTTAAAATAAAAATAAAAAAGGAAAAGAAATGCAATTGTTGTGAAGTTGCATGGAAAGTTATCCCTTTCAACTCCTATATGTATATAAAAAGGTTAAGGATAACTAAGAAAAGACAAATAACGAGAATAAAAAGAATAAAAAAGAACTCTCTGTGAAATATATAGGAAAAACAAAAGAAATGTTATCTTGACACTCGAGTTGTGAAGTTCGGAAAGTGATTTAGTATTACTTGTCTTGATCTAGTAAAACTACTTATAGATAAGTGTTATTTCAATCATGAACTTATTTATTTATTTATGTTTGTGATTATATTATATGAATATAAAAACTAAAGCATTTTGGAACTATTGTCGAATTCTCTCTCCTAAGTGGTTGTGGGGTATAAGGATTTGGAATCCTTACATTCCAACAAGGGTGATTGTTTTTATTTGAAAATGTTTAAAGGTACTCTTCCAGTTGACTCTCGTATAAAAGAACTCCACATTCCACTAGTCTCTATATGTCAATGTTGTCAAGGTTATAGGGAAGAAACTCTAGTGCATTTGTTTTAAGAGTCTCGGATTGCGGTATAGGTTTGGATGCATTATGGAAATATCTTTAGGTGTTGTAATTTCTTGAGCTCTTTAGGGTATTGTATGCGAGCTTGGTTTACCTTTACCACTACTCAACCAGGCATATGTCAAATTGGTACCTTTTGTTTTGTCCTATGGGAAATATGGAAAAGCCATTGTAAAGCAAAATATGAGGATGAGTCGATGAGAGTTGATGAAATTATTATAAGAGTTATTATAGATCTTCATGATATGTGTAGTTTATTCGTCCCGAAGATACCTATGAATGTTGTTGGCATTAGGAAGTTATATGAGTTAGGCATTGCTCCGGTTCAGTCGAAGTTTTTGCGAGGGAAATGGCTCAAATGGGAGCCTCCTATCTTTGGTAAATTTAAATTGAAAGTTGACAAGTTGGCTAGAGATGGTTCTTGCACGAGATGAGGGGTAATTCGGGATTCTTCAAGTGTTTTTCTTGCAAGCTTTGCAAATTTTTACAACGAGGGTACGAACTCTAAAGTTGAAGTTCTAACTCTTCACGATAGGTTATTGCTTTGTAAGGATTTAGCCTTAGATTCGGTTCTTATTGAATTTGACTCTATGTTGGCTATCAATACTATCTTGGGCGCTAATAGGACTCATTGGTTTTATATGTATTCTTTCCGAGAATGTCAAGAGATAAAGAGTAACCAAACGTTTAATCATATTTGGAGAGAGTAGAATATGGTTACGGATAGATTGGCTAATGATTCTCTTCAACATGAGTTATTGAGTAAGTTTAGATACCATTCTCAATTAACTTTAAATGTAAAAATTGCTAGTAGACAAGATCGGTTAGGTTTGTTTAATTTTAGTAAGTCCTCTTACCTTTATGGGTAAGGCTTCTTTGTCCCCCCTCCCCGGGTTTGTTAGATTAGGCTGGATTGCCACCCTTAAGTATTTCATTTTATTTTCATATTAATAAATTTATCAAGTTACTCGTCCAAAAAAAAAAAAAAAAATCAACCCTAACACTCCTTTATTTATTTATTTTAGAATAAACTCAACGCTCATTATTAATTATGAATGAGTACAAAATTTTACACACATATATATATTTGAATAAATTATAATATCCTTTTAAAATATAATGAAATTATTGGATCCATCCACAAGTTTGAAGTTTTGAGAAACTTCCTACAATATCTAACATGCCCTAATTATTATTTGAAAAAGCAATAGTTAAATTAAGAAATTTTAAAATTTAGATAAAAATATTAAAAAGAAAAAAAAAGACAACATTTATTGAAGTAAAAGAGTGGAATTAATATTTTTGATTACAATTTAGTACTTTATTTTTGTAAACTCAAAACTTAGTGCCTTGATTCTTACTAATTGTAATCTTAGAAGAAATTAAAGAAGATCCATTTCTATCTGAGATCTACGTTAAAACTTCTATTTTATTTTTTTTTCAAATCCTTTCTATGTTGGTCTTTTTCTAAGTATTTAAATGGAAAAAGATAAAAAAAAGTCAAAAGAAGAAACTATATATTTTAAAATATGAGGGACTCAGATATAATCACGTTCAAACTCTAGGGACTTTTAACCTTCCATGTAAATAAAACGTACTAACAAAAAAAGAAAAGAAAATAAATAAGTAAATTATAAATTAGTTTCTCTATTTTTGGGGAAAGAACTAATTAATTTTTCTTTTTTTAAAATCTAATTTTTTTTCTTGTTTTATGTTCTTTCTAGTTTAATTTATTGTTATTTTTTAAATAAATAAATAAATATTGTAAAAAAATTGATTTTTTAAATAAAATAATATTAAATCAAGTTTGATCACTACTAAATAATAAATAAATAAATTATTTTTTAAAATAAAAAATTAAATAATTTTTTTTTAAATTAGAAAGATTAATTTATAATTTACTGGAAAATAAAAGTGCAGCACGGTCAGTAATCAGCACCATATAAAATCACCAAACCACTCGGCCCAAAAAAGGAAAAAGAAGGAAAAGACATAGAGAGATTTGGGTAGAATAATACAATAAAAATAATAGAAGAAGAAAATAAAAGGAAAGGAAAGGAAAGTTTGGGCAGTGAGTTTGGAGCAAATATATTCAAGAAAGGAGGAGGAGATAATAAAATAATAAAAAAAAAAATCAAGACAACAAGTGCGAGAGAAAGGGAGAGGGAGGGGGAGGGGGAGAATGGCGGCGAGTGGTAGCGAGAGAGTAGCGGTGGAGTTGTGTAAAGGCATCAACGGCCTTGATAAGGTTGTCCTCGGCGAACCACGTGGCGCTTCTGCTGAGGTATTAACAACAACAATAATAACCGTCACCTCTTTCCTTCTTTCTTTTGATGATTTCTTTCTTTCTTTCTTTCGTTTTTTTCTGGTTTTGATCTGATCGATATTTTTTTTATCTGAAATTTGTGAGTTTATAATTCGCTTAATCTTTGTGATTTTTGTTGATCTTAATGTTGTATTTGGAGAAAAACTGATTTCTTTGATATAATAAGAACTGCATTAGGGTTTTTAGGATGATAGGATTTAATTTAGATTAAGACAGAAAATATTTGTTTCATTAAGTTTAAGGTGCTTGCTTGTGCTAGAAGTTCATTCCTTACTTTTTATGAAAAAACTTAGAATTTAAGAGTTTACCATTTATTCCCGGACAGCAATCTATAGACGAATGAATTAAGTATCATATTCTGTTGATTTCTTTGAGTTTAATGCAACTGTTTATTTATTTATTTCAGTTTAGTTGTTTTCATGATGTAAAATGATGAAGAATTCGTACTTCTTGTTACAAATTAATAAGGATTTAGATGGATATGTGCTGCATGTGTCTGCGCATATAAGTGATAGTTTCCATTTTGAATGTATGAATTTCATTTTTTAATGAAACTAAGACCCATAGTGATTAGGGCATCTTTGGCTTGTTGTTTAAATTGAGAAAACTGAATTAGAAGCACTCTTACCTGTTTCTAGGAATTTAGATTGGATTGGGTACTTCCCATTTTTTTTTTTTTAAAAAATTCTTGGTCATTTTTCATTATTTTGCATACAAGGAGAAAAATTTAAAGATGATGCTGAACCATGCATAAACATTGTTCTATCTTCGAGTTGTGGTCAAGAAAAGCCAGCATTTAATGTTTGTTTAAATTAGATTATGGTACTAAGGTATCTACTTACATCAATGATGCTATGTTTCTTGTTTCTCCAGGTGTATTTGTATGGGGGTCATGTGACATCCTGGAAGAATGACCATGGGGAGGAGTTGCTTTTTGTCAGCAGTAAGGTGCTATGCAGTGTTCTAATTACTTCCTCCATCATTTCATTGTTGTGGACTATTCATTTTGGGATTTCATGAAATTGTTTCTCATTAACAATCTAAAAGCAAATGTTTTTAACATATATATAAACAAACCATTAATTAGATTTAAAGAGCGGTTAAGAAATAAAAAGCAAATTGTTTGCATCCTTTAAACTAGAATAGTGACATTTCTTGCACCATGGAGGTGTCCTCAACTCAAATGATCACTTGTAAAAAATATAGTCAAAAGAAAAAGAAGAATAGGGAAATTCAAACTGGTTCACAAAATATTAGTGTATTTAAATGCATCTTTCACATTCACCAGGCTGTGCTGAACTTCATTGTTTTGCTAGAAGATATACCTCACCTCTAATATATCTAAAGCGAATGTAGTTTCTTAACTTCTGATTGGTAAGAATTCATTAGAGACTCTGGTACAGGTTTTGGTTCTAATTTGTAATGTAGTGAATGATATAGTTTGGAGCGACTTTAATGAAGGTCTCATACATTAAATAACTTGCCCTATTTTGCTGCCGTGGATTTTGTATTTTCTTATGCTGTTTTATCAAAATACTGCATGTTCTTTGTTACCACGTTGCTTCGATGACAGGAGAAGGGTTAATTGACCAGTGACATCTTTCCTGACTTTACTTTGATCTTGTTCCTCTCCTAAATACCATATGAAAGAATCACACTGACAATAATTAATGTCTTGCGCAGGCAATATTCAAACCTCCGAAGGCAATTCGTGGAGGCATTCCGATATGCTTTCCTCAAGTATGTACTTACCCTGCAACTTTTCTTTTTCATTTTTCAATTTGTTTCATCTTTGCTAAGCAAGCTTGCTCCAAATTTGCAGTTCGGAAGTCATGGTTCTCTCGAGCAGCATGGATTTGCCAGGAATAGGTTTTGGAGCATTGATACTGACCCACCTCCATTTCCCACAAATTCTAAGTCCTTTATTGATTTGATCCTTAAGCCGTCTGAAGAGGATATGCAGAAGTGGCCTCACAGGTGAAGTCATTTAATCTTTTATCCCTTGCATCTTTATTTATCAACAAAGGTTCTAGAATCTTTATTATCGTTTCCCCACTCCCTATTCTCAATGGGATGGACAAAGTCATTTATTAGATCATCTTTCTCCTTGCTGTTAGTTATGAGTTCCGTTTGAGGGTAGCTTTGGGACCTGGAGGAGATCTGATGCTGACATCTCGCATTAGGAATACCAATGCTGATGGAAAGCCATTTACATTCACATTTGCTTATCACACTTATTTCTCTGTCTCAGACATCAGGTATTAATTAACTTGCTTATGCCTCTTGATATTATGAAAAGTGTCCTTGTATTTCTATACACACTTATAGATAGCCTTAATTTCTCAAAATAGAAGTTACACTTTTCTGCATTATCACAGTATCAGTTATCTATGTTATAGTTGTTGCTTGCATTGTTTTCAGAAATTTATTCCTTTGGTTACCATTTGGATTCTTGATCCGAAAGTCTCACTATGGCCACAAGTTTGATCTTGTCTTTGACAATAATATGGCATGGAAGCTGTTACAACATTCTGTTGTTTGCTGTGTTTTCGTAGCCAGAAGCAATTGTGGTTGTGATATATTTTTCAGTAGTCTGTCATCAAGCATGCTTTAGAAGGATATGATTTTCTGCATATATTTTCATATTTTTCTGTTGGTTAGAACCTCTTTCAAATCTTCTTTGCTTGTTTTCAGTGAAGTGCGGGTTGAAGGTTTAGAGACACTGGATTATCTTGACAACTTGCAGAATAAGGAGCGCTTTACTGAACAAGGGGATGCCCTAACATTTGAATCAGAAGTAGGTTAAGGAAAGGGAAACCTTATGCTTGTGCTGTACTGATTGCAATGTTTTAACTTGTGAATTCATATATAGGTTGACAAAATATATCTCAGCACTCCTACTAAGATTGCAATTCTGGATCATGAAAAGAAGAGAACCTTTGTATTACGCAAAGATGGACTTCCGGATGCTGGTAAATTCGACATTCTTGTTAACTTTGTTAAATATAGAGGGATCTTCTTAAGAGTAAGAATATTGTTTCTCCTCTGGTGCGAATAAAGTAGCATAGCCAATTTACTGTCTAAAAAAGATACAAAATCCTCTCATATTTATTTATCCTGATTTACTTCTTAACATGGTTTTATGTTTCCATAATGATGCTACAATGTCTGTTTCAATTTATTCCATGGTTTTTTTTTACCATTGCTGTATGCATCCAAATTCATTCAGAACCTCTGTACCTTTCACGTGGGAAAATAATTGATTCTACATAGTTCTAATTCACTTCTCTTCCTACTTTTTGGTTCTTCCTTACAATGTTCAAGTTTAAAAGCACTTTTAAGTTGCAGATCTTAAGTTTGCCTCTAACGTACCTTTCCCCAGTGTAGCAGTTAAGAGCTCTTTCTACTCTGGTATGCTATCTTAATTTTTTATTCATGCATGCAGTGGTGTGGAATCCTTGGGATAAGAAGGCAAAGACTATGGCTGATTTTGGAGATGATGAGTACAAGCATATGCTGTGTGTGGAGGCTGCCGCTGTTGAAAAACCCATCACGCTAAAACCTGGTGAGGAGTGGAAAGGAAGACTGGAACTTTCCACTGTTCCTTCCAGCTATTGTAGCGGGCAACTTGATCCGCAGAAAGTTCTTCAGAGCAGCTAGAAAAGGATCCATGGTTTTGATATACATATTTTGTACAGCTTCTTTGGCTGAAAGTTTAAATACAGTACTCTGAATATGTAGTTGGTGCCTTTAAGGACAGGAATTCACTGTCTTTTATGTTGTTGGATCAAGTATGTTTGCTTGAGAAGATGTTGAAACTTCAATGTTGTAATTTCCATACATCACTGAAATGAGTTGTTCCTTTCCTGTTATTTCTTATTGGCAAGGAAACTTGGATTATTTTCAAGTCTTATCTATCTTTTTTGGGTTACGAAAGAGAGGTTCGAAGGGGAGGTCTAATGTCAGTTAAAAGAGTTCACTGGCACCTTATTTGTCTTCTCATAGGTATTGCTTCTCTTAGGTAGAAATCATGTAGGATTTACTTGCGTGCATTAATATATCTTCTTCGTAATGGAATAGACTCATTGTTTTTCACTTCAATAGATAAATTATTAAAGAAGTATGATAATAAGTGCTAATCAGTAAAATTTGGGAAACAAGAGCTATTGTCATAATGAGATCCAAAATTTATTTATTTTTATTCTCAATCGATAAGGTATATCTGGACAATAATCTCTGAGGTGGGGAGGAGTTCTTGAAGTTGATCTTGGCGCAACCTAGGGCAATTGGCACTTGCGATGAGCAATAACAAGGAAATCAATATTCGTCAACTAGTCATTCAATGCTCTCCGATTTCTTGTTTTCGCTTATATGGTATTTAGTCCTAATGCATTGCTTTTTTGGTCTCTCTTCATGATATGTTTCTAGGGCCTACTGATCGGTAGATTCGGGGGCATGATCTCACGAAAAATTTAAAACTAAAGTTCAGAATTGTTTAGAGCAACCTTCATACGTGCGTATGCGTTTACAGAAATTTGTTTTTTTTTTAGTTTGAATTTTAGAGTCAATATTAAAAAAAAAAAATTATTTTTTCGAATGCATAAAGTTGATGTTGGGGTATCGGTGTATTTTAAGATCGTTTGAGAACAAAATTAGTCTTGCTTGATAGACAATGTAGTCTGAAAATATTCATTACCATTGAATAAAAAAAGTAAAAATACAATTATTGAGAGCATGAGTAAGAGATGTTGAGTAAAAAAATAATAGTTAAAAAATTATTTAGAGCATGAGTACCAGATGCAGGTATGTTAGCAAGTAACTATATTACAAGAGTATGCGTGCCATCAGGGCAATCGTTAACAAATCAATCTCGACTCTAAATTTTTTGTTATAAAATTTGTCTAAAAAAAAATTATCGTTAATTTAAAAACATTACCAAATAAAATAAAATTCATTTAATATTTAATTGATAATAATATTTTACCTCTCTGGCCAAAATCACGCAAGTTTATTTGTGAATTTGAGAAATAAAATTATTGATAATAATATAAGTTACATTTCTAGCTAAATCTGTCTTACTAAAAAAACTTAGAAACTATGAAATTTTTGTATTTCTACAAAATCTAATATTATGTGAGATCATCATCTTAAACACTGCGATTCTTTATGATTGTAGTATCCAAAATTCAATATTAAAGAAAACTCTAATATTTTATGCACTAAAATCCTTTTTTTTTTTTTAAATAAAAGTCATCAAAATAATAAGAAAAATCATTTATTATTATTATTTTCTCTCAAATTGCACTGTTTGACAAATATATATATATATATATATATATATATATATATATATATATATATATATATATATAAAGCCCAAACTTTTCTTACATATAATCTCCAAGTTGGCATTACGACAAGAAAAATAGGAAAGTCAAATAGTTTTTTTTTTCTTTTTCATTTCCACACTCCACCGTACACTCACGGTTTGTCCTTTAATTTTCTTTTCTTTTTTAATTTAATTATTTTCCTAATTAATTTCTTTATGGGTTATGCTAATGCCATTCATAGGCTAGAACTTAAATACACACCCAACAAATCTCTTCCTCTAACCCATGAGGAGAAAATCTTAACTCATTATCTATAGTTCATGCCAACCACACCGAGACACAATACATTCTTCTCACACGTAATCAATTCTGTCAGCATAGCAACTTGATCTTTGTCATGGAGAATCATTTTTCGCACCATCAACTGTTACTCCATTACCTTACAAAGTCAACGACATACTGCAATCTTAAACTTTGAATTCCCAAGTTTGTCATAAGTTAGAATATTACAAAGCTATTTACTTATCTCTCATCCATCAACAAGACATTATTAGAACTTAAATTCTTGGTAAAATAATGATATTGACTAGTAAATCTATTCATCTAAGACTCTAGATTCTAAAATGAAGGAGGCACTTGCTCCTCCTATTCAACACTCACTTTGATCATATCATCATCATTATCAATTATTGACTCAATATCAATTCTATTTCGTCATTCGGTAGCTCCATACATGGCAATCTCCTTGGTAAAAGTAACATAAGACTTCTTTACTATTTTTTTTCATCATTTGAACTTGTCATCTAGATTAAAATTTTAAAAAAAGTTTTATATCTAATTGCACTCTTTCCAAATCTATTTAATTGTATCTTTATCTTGTACAATTTATCACAAATAATACTACCTCTAGCAACAACCATTGATCTCTTGGTGAGTTTCCATCTTCTCGCCACCAAAATAATTATAGTATCCGAGCAATGTCTAAAGCATGAGTAGAAATCGGGTTTAGGAATACATTTGATATATGTAGCACATTCTTCTAAGTTAGTACACAACCTATATATAATTTTATACACATAGTACCAACTCTTAGAATACTATCATAACTACAATTGTCCATGTTTGCTCTTCTATAGTCTCCTACTTTATACATAGTAAAGAATTCATTCTTTGAAGTAGCATGGTATGTAGTTGCTAAGTAAGCAATCCATTCAATATATGAATCTATAACATTACACTTACCTTCTCCATATGAGAGCATCATAGCATCCCAATTTGAAGTTAATATCGTAATGTTGCTTTTATTATCTTCAACTTGGTTTTTCAAATCTTTTTATTCTTTCTTCCATGACTTGTAATTTTTCTTGATGTGACCTTCTTTTACAATGATAACATTTAAAACTATCACTTAATTGCAATTTGCCTCTAGCTTTACTATTCTCACTAAATTTTCTATTCCTACTCCTCTCTTTGTCCTTTATGACAAGAGATGGGATGCTTCATCCACTATCATTTTATTTTGTCTCGTTTCTTTATTAAACAAGTTATTTTTTAACCATAAAATGACAAAAGACCATTCGAAGAAGAATTACTAAGTGTCACAATCAAAATCTTCTAGCTATTTGGCAAAATTCCTAATAGCAATAGTGCTTATAACTATTCATCTAGCATTATTTTCATGTTTATCAACCAATTAATCAAATCCTAAAAATTACTCAATTGTTCAGCAATAAACTTTCTATTTTTGTATTTCAAATGCACAAGCTTCCTATTTAAAGAAGCTTTATCCTGTGTAACTTTTCTTTCATGCATACACTCTAATTTTTTTATTTTTTTTTCACATTTCTAGAGTATACGTCTATTTACATACATGATGAAACATAATATCATCCTCCCACTATCCGATAGCTCTAATAGCGTTTTTATGTTTTTTTTTTTTTTTCCAAGCATCATCGGTCTTGGCGAGTTGATACGGTTTAACTAATTAAATCGGATAAAAAATTTATGGTAATAAAGTAAATCCTTCATCTTAGGCTTCCAAAATGAATAATTCAAAGTCGTCAATCTGATCATGATTCTTGAATTATTTTTCTCTACTTAATTTACACAAATATTTCAACTAGACTCTAATACTATTATTGAAAATTGAATCTCACTTCAAGTAAATTAGATTGCAAGATAAAATAATCAAGTTAAGCATACACTCGTATTCAAGAACACAAAAATAATCAATCACAAGAGCACAACAATAAAAACATTAAATTTACGTAGAAAACCTTCTTTATCATAGACCAATTCTAAAATAATCTATTATAATTAAGAAAGTAATACAATCACTCAAATTTCACGTGAACTTGAGAAAAAAAATATTGATGGTAATGCAAGTTACCTCTCTATCTAAATTCATACCTTGCCTAAAAACTTGAAATTTACAAAATCTCTGTGTTTTTAAAAACTCAATACTGTGTGAAACTATCATCTTGAACACTATAATTTTCTATGATAGTATTCTTTAAAAATCAATGCCGAAGAAAATTTTAATATTTTGTGCACCCAAAATCCTTACTTTTTTCCTATAAAATTTGTTAAAAGAATAAGAAAAATCATTATTTTCTTTTTCTTTTCTCTCTAATGGCTCTCTTTGGCAACTTTATAAAGAAAAAGGCCAAACTTTTCTTAAAAGTCGGCATTAGCACAGGAAAAATCGAAAAGTAAAATCAAACCTTTTCCTTTTTTCCTTTTTCATGGCCACACTCCACCACACACTCACAGTTTGTCTTTTAATTTCCTTTTCTTTTCAATTTAGTCATTTTTCTAATTAATTTTTAAATGAGTTATGTAAATACCACTTAAGGGTTGGACATTAAACATACAACTAACAATTTCTTTCTAAAAATAGTATCCATGTCATGTAAAAAATAATTAATAATTTATTAAAACCTCTCTATCTACATTATAATTCATTAATATGAATTTTGAAAAAAAAAAAAACATTCTTGGTACTATAAAATTTAAACCTAAAACCAAAATCATAAGAATCTAAAGGCTGTAAAATCTAATCAAATAAATGCTCGTTTTTTCTATCTTGACCTTTCTTCCTTCTCAATTATGCCTTCTCTATATTTTATAAAAAAGTTCCTAATACCTTTAACAATATTTTGTATCCAGATATTTAATGCAAACAATGTTAATTGGTAGATTTATATTAACTTCCTAATGAATTACCTAACACAATATTAATAAGTCAGAATTCTAGGAGTTAAAAAAATCTATTACACTCCAAATTTGATGAGAACCCTAGCTATGAAAAGTGATAGCAAACAAAAAAGA